GACCCTCACCCTAAACAAAAAAAAAAAAAAAAAAAAAAAAAACCTCAAAATGGATCAAAGACTTAAAACCAAAAACCAAATATCTTAGATTAAAACATAGGGGAATATTTTCAAAACACTGGATTTGGCAATTATTTAACACAAAATCAGAAGTAACAAAAGAATACACAGATAAATTGTACTTTACCAAAATTAAAAACTTGCTGCATCAAAGAACACCATGAAAAATGTAAAAAGGCTTAGTTGTAGTTACCCATGTAGTAGGGGTGCTGCTGTGTGATGCTGTAAAGCATGCTGGAAGGTTCCAGGTTCATAGTCTACCTCAACATATGAGGTCATGATCGTGGTTGGCTGCAGTTCTTTGTGGGGAAGGTTAATGCATTAACAGCCTGAAGAGAGTGCTTCTCTCTCTAACCCCTTACCTGCAAACAAAAAAACACAACCAGCCAGGCACTGGTGTGCCCAAAATCTTGACAACATGGAAAAATGGAGAAGAGACTATAGCATACCCACACCTTTGGGTGGGGGAGGTGCTGTCTTTTTCTCTCTCTGGTCAGTATACATACATACCCTCTGGCAATTAAAAAAAAATGTGGAAAGATAATCCACAGAAAGGGAGAAAATATTAGAAATATTAAAAAATTATTTATCTGATAAAGGGTAATATTTAAAAGATAGAAAGAGCTCCTCAGGACTCAAATAATTTAAAAAATATATAAAAGGTGAGACCAGCAGATGGCATAATGGTTATATTGCTGGATTCCCACGTAGTTGAATGTGGTTCGAGTCCTGCACCCAGTATGAGTGCATATGCGTGCATGCCCAAAAATCTCAAGAGAATGGAGAAGGGATTACAGCGTGGCCACCCCCCTGGGGCATGATTTCTGTCTGTCTGCCTGTCTCTGTCTCTTTAGCAAGGGCATAGGGCCCATAGCAAAACTCTCTTAAAAAAAAAAAAAAAGTGCAAACGGTTTGAACAAATATTTCTCCAAAACCAAAAAGTACACATGACCACTAAGCAAATTTTTAAAAATGCTCTACATCTTTAGTCATGGAAATCAAAACCATGAGGAGATACCACTTTACAACCGTTAGGTTAGCTATTATCAAAAAAAATGGGAAGTTGGGACCGGCAGTTAGTGTAATGGCTATGTCACTGGACTCCCATGGAGTCGACCGCGGTTCGCGTCCTGGACCCGGTGGCTTAAACTCACGCCGGGCGCGTGTGCATGTGTGCCCAAGATACTGAGAGAAGAATGGAGGAGAAGGAATTGTGGCATGGCCATCCCCCCTTGGGGGGTGATTTCTCACTTTCTGTCTGTCTCTCTCTGTCTGGCGAGCGCACGCACCCGATAGCAAAAACCTCTTTAAAAAAAAAAAATGTGAAGTCAATGTTGGCAAAGATGTGGATAAATCAGAACCCTCAATGTTTGCTGGTAATAAAGTACAACTTTTTTGGAGAAGTTTGGTAGTTCATTAAAAAATTTAAACACAGAAATACCATACAAGCCAGCAACTCCACCACTGGGTATACACCGAAAAGAACTGAAAGCAGGGACCAGCAGTTAGCGTAATGGCTATGTCGCTGAACTCCCATGTAGTCAACTGCGGTTCATGTCCCGGACCCAGTGGCTTAAAACTCATGCCGGCCGCGTGTGCGTGCGTGCCCAAGATCCCGAGAGGAGAATGGAGGAGAAGGGATTGCGGCCTGGCCATCCCCCCTGGGGGGTGATTTCTCGCTTTCTGTCTCTGTGTCTCTCTCTGTCTGTCTGGCGAGCGCACGCACCCTATAGCAAAAACCTCCCCCCCCCCAAAAAAAAATGCTGGGGACGTGTGCACGCTTGCCCACAATCCTGAGAGAAGAATGGAGAAGGGACTGCAGCGTGGCCATTCCCTCTGGGGGGTGATTTCTCACTTTCTGTTTTTCTGTCTCTCTACCAAGTGCACATGCCCTATAGCAAAAATCTCTCAAAAACAAATTAGACTGAGAGCAGATAAAACATGAGAGTTGAGAAAAAGTAATACAGCTTAACTAGAGTTGGAAAGGAAATGAATTAGGTGCTGGAGAAAACCATGCCCTCAGCCTAAAACAGAACTATGACATGAAGTTTCATCTAAGAGGTTTATTATGGAATTTTACTGATATAGTTGTTTGAGTTTAATACTGATCCACCCCTTATACATGTAAATCTGGAGTTACACTGACAATGAGTTTAGATAGGAATATATTAATGGCCAATATGTTAGAGGATCTTTAAAGGCAAATACAATCTTATCAGATTTATAAATGTAACCTAGGAATATTCTTAAAAGTTTAAACAACTTAAAAGTTGTCTAAATTCAACATTTATTTGTCCTCAGTTTTTACAATTATAACTTTCATTTCATTAAAATACTTTTTAAATGAAAATATTAACAGTTCTTGCTAATGTCTGCAGTTATGCATAAGTGATACGCATATTGCTAATGAAAAGTTTCCTTAATAGCACTGTTTTCCCACTTTTCTCATGTCTATTGATTATTTACTACTCTATCATCTCCCCTTGTGCTATATAGTAAAGGGGGGAAAAGTACATATCCTTGAGGGACAAAGGATAAAAGCTCTAACTGATCAGAATTAGAAAACTGAACTGAAAATGAGATTCCTTATAAAAATCACCTTTGGTTTTTTTTTTTTTTTCCTTATGGCCTAGATATTCAACTAATGTACAGGTATTCTATTATTAAAAATATAAACCTTGGGACCAGCAGTTAGCGTAATGGCTATGTTGCTGGACTCCCATGTGGTTAACCATGATTTGCATCCTGGACCTGGTGGCTTAAAACTCACGCTGGGTGCATGTGCGTGCGTGCCCAAGATCCCGAGAGGAGAATGGAGGAGAAGGGATTGTGGTGTGGCCATCCCCCCTGGGGGGTGATTTCTCACTTTCTGTTTCTCTGTCTCTGTCTGTCTGTTTGGCGAGCGCATGCGTCCTATAGCAAAAACCTCTCCAAAAAAAAAATAATAATAATAAAAATATATATATATATATATAAACCTTGGGACTGGCAGGCAACGTAGTAGTTAAGGGTGGCGCTGGACTCCCACATGGCTGACCCTGGTTCAAGTCCTGGACATGGCAGGTTGCCCTCTCCCTTTC